CTCAAATCAATGCAGGTTGTTAGATTAGTGAGGTCTACTAACTCCACAAAATATTCAATGTATGAAATTTTGACATATCACTTGAGATACAAGAATTGATAAACTAATTTGCGTGGCACAGTTTTATTCTTAAATAAATTTGATATAATAATAAATTAGTTATTATTTAATTTTTTTGTCAGAATAATATATGCAGTTAAAAAAGTTTAATAATTATTTTTTTATTATAATAATACAAAAATTTATTAAACAAGTTAAACGAATCATGTAGAATAACCTGTTTAATAAATAAATCGTGTTTGATTTGTAAATTTTTCCGCGTGTAATTAAACGAATCGTATATTTATTGAATGATTTTCACATAAACCCGAGCAGACTTGACGCGAAGCCGGTTAACCCAAATGATTGACACCCCTACTTACATGTATATGTATTGCTATAGATGGCCGGTGTAGATTGATCTTCAACCCTGCTGACATCCAACAGTTGTTTTAAGGGTCTAAAAGGCCCATGGCCCATGAGCTGCCATGCCAGCCCTTGGTTCGTGGGTGAGTCATTCTGGAAGGGCTGTGGGTCATTTTCTCTCTCGCCCATTAGGCCAGACAGATTAGCATGTTTACGGCCTACTAAAAAGTCCAGTGGGTGTATCCATGACCCGAATCATTGGTTTTGCAATTTTTTTTTTAAGAATATCAATGAATATGTAATTTTTGAATAACAAAATCAAAAAGTTAGGCCAGTTCAGAGAGTTAAAGGCCCATCAGGGTTGACTATAAGCTATCTCTTTTCAAGCAAACCTTACATGGTCTGGCCCGGTCCATTTATCGGTCAATAGTCTGCTAAAAGGTAAGGTAGTTGTGGTTAGGACTGCAACGTGGACAAGTTGAGAGACTAAATCAAGTTCAACCCTAGTTATAAAATTCTCAACTTGAATTCGATCTCAACCCGAGTAGTGTTCAATCGAACTCAGGTTTAACATGGATTGAGTCCAAGTAATAAAATCGATTCAATTTTTAGATTAAATTTGTGGTTCTAAATGTTAACACCTTTAACTTTTTTATTAAGTTTACATAGTCCTAATGGAAAAAACTGAGCCCATTAAAGACAAAAGATAAATTGAGTTTGCTTTTTTTATATACAAGAAGAGTGACTCTTTTGTTTCCAACCGATTTGATATTCTAATTTAAGCATCTTATTTTGTTGTTTATTCAACATCCCACATCAGTTCAACAAGGGAGCTTGATAACAGCTTAAAATCAATTTAGGTTGAGGATTTTTTCCCAAGCTCAACTTTAGTTTTAAAAAATTCAACCCAAATTTTATTTTTTTTAGGCTAAGTTTGGGTTAGTCCACCCAAATTACACTCCTACTATTCCAACTCATTGGTAGACATGGTCCGCATGGATAGTCGTCTGATTGCCTCACCCGACTTAGCGTTTTGCAAACCCGTATGCTTCTTGTTCTTCATGAATAAAATATAAAAACTCACAAAATATATATATATATATATATAATAAATGTGTGTTTCAATCCATTCCCGCCTCTATTCCTGCACAAGTTTATACGAATATCTTTGTATACGTCTATTATCTAATACGTATGATTCATTTTTGATCCAAGCAAGATAAAATTGGATGAATATTTATTTTTCCCAAATTGAGTGGCATCCCTAGCTAATTTCTTGTCGAGTGCATACGCCACTTGATTTTGTGATGTGTTGCGTTGTATACCTCTGAAAACCATAGATGTAATGATAGCTGTTTTCTTCTAAATGCAAGAGCCCAGTCAACATAACATTTAAAATTTTCAAGGTTTTTGATTTTTCGAGAGGGGTTTGGTAGAACTCCATTGAGAAGGTAAGGTAGTTGCGGTTTGATATATTTGTTCATCCTTATTTTTTTGACCATTGCCAACAAACTGCTACGTTATAAAAAGTAATAGTATTGTTACGTGCCAAGTCAATATGTATGTATCAGCAGTTTTAGAAAAAATAAAAACAATAAAAGTTTGGTATGATTGTGATAATATTTGTCTTGGTGGATCCTATTTTCAGTCCATAAGAAAACATTTTAAACATGTGTATTTAACACATATATTGCAACAAAAACTACAAATGCATGGAATTACTATTAACTTTAAGTGTCAGTTATATATGCCTGAATTTAATAGGATTGTGAAAAATTAATTTTAACACTCTCGTCTCTTGATCAACTATTGCATTAACCGCATGAATTAATTAGATTCGTTATTAATTTAAGGCAATGTTCTTGTGTTCATTAAGGATTAAAGCGTTGGGGGGGGGGGAGGGGTTCTGTCTTCCAAATGGCGGCCAAGTGGGTTGTATTTATCCTATTTAGTCGGTCAAAACGAGGTTAATAACATGCCTAGAAAAAAAACAGTCATGTTGATATATCTTAGTCAATAATCATTTGTTGGCTGTAAGCCATTGTTTTTTCCTCTGTTTAAAAAAAAAAAATTTAAAAATGTCCACATATAATGGCTGCTATCTACATGTATGGATAGCATTGTAATTTCAATACCCCAAACATTTAGTTTCCACTATTTAACTTATTTTATTTTTTGGGGCAAGTAAGATTGAGACAATTTATAATTATGGCATAAAAATTAAGAGATCAATCGTATATCTTCTAATTCACGTAGTTGCATTGCCGCCTCGTTTTGTATTTGTCTTTTTGTTTGACAAATATATATAATAAATTTTACTTTATATGAAAGTTCATTAACTAATTCAAATATTATATGGATCGCAAGCTAGTGAATGTGTGCTGTTGGTTACTTTTCATTGGAATTGTTTTATTCAAAATTCATGGGTTTAATTTGAAGAATTATATTAGTTGAATTTATTTTATTAAATTAATTTATTGATCTAGCCATTTGATTAGTACTAAATTACAATAGTGTTAAATGCAGTCCATTCGAGGATTTAGTGGTGTAGAGACATTGGGCTCATCAAATGACAACATCACCAACGACCGTTGATTTTAGGAATAAGGATTGGCACATTCTATGTATTGTAACCAAGTTTCTTTTGCTGACAGTGAGGATTGAGAATTCTCCAAGTTCATTAATTTAGTAAGAACAAGATGTTGGGATGATGGCCCACCAACCATCTAACGGTCCCACCAGATAATATTATCTTTAGTCAACTAAATATACGGTTAATGATCATCATCATTGACATAGTTTAATTTGTTTGTATACATTTATATGTACATACATAGATATGAAATCTGTTTTTATAATTAAGCATTGGGGGGTTGGTATGTCTTTTTAGCTGTTAACGTTTTTCTACATGAGCTAAGCTTCTAGAAGATATAAAACTGTGAATGCAGACCTACCACCTTCTTGCTAGGTCTAAAGACCATACTCATCATTGGACGAATTTACCCTCTGTTGACCATATCATTAATTGGTGGAAAAACGTGTTTCCAAGAGATCTACTGGCTGACATGCCATTAGCGTTGATGGTGTGACTGTATGAGAAGACGAGGCACCAAATTTTGTAGTTCCCCTCAGCCTCGTCTTTTTGGATATTCTTATTTAAACAAATTTTTATCGTTAATCAATTATAATTTTTAATCAGTTAAACAATTATAATTTTTAATCAATAAATTCATTGGCGATGATAATCTTTCTCATTGATATTTTATTTTTTCGTTCTTTTTTTTGGATAATTGCAGTGCATGTACTTTACAAAATACTTTAAAGGAAAAGCAAATTAGACCAGGATTGTGCTATTCTTTTATGTTTGAAAGAGTAATCAAACACCCGCGTAGAAAAACACATAGGAGAAAAGGCCTAACCATGACATTTTAACTCGAAATTTCCCATGATAAGAAACAAAGGAGTTAAACAGATTCGAAAAACCACCTTTTTTTTCAACTTTTAACCACAGCAAATATTTGATAAAGTCTGAAAACAGCTTTAAATCATTTCAAACAAACAAACAATCAATCAAATGTCAATGGGGGCAGCAAAGTCATTGTCCATTCAACCAAATTTGAAGACTTGTTACTCATTTCACATTTATATATTCATATTGCTAAGTATCTACCTCTATGAATACGTATAAAATTGTGACTTTTTGGTACCAAAATATCATAGTTTTCAAATTCAATTCACCTTTTCTTGTCTTTTTAACTTATTTTCCACCTATATTTCTTTGTATAAAAATATAATTTATACTCACGTTTTCATGTAACGCGATATTAACAATAGAAAACTTTGAAAGCATATGTTGAAAACACACTCTTACGGTAAAAAAATGTGGGGTTTAGCCATGTTCCTATAAGGGTGAGGGAGGGACCTAATGAATTCCTTGGGATCATGAATGATTTATTTCTCATAATATTCTAGTCACAGCGCGAATGATCTGCTTTTGACCGAATTGAAGATGAGATCAATTGAAGTGCTCATAAACTTGTATGGATATCCTTGATTGTTGAACAAAAAAAAAGAGAAAGAGTGACCCAATAATAAGGGCTCACTCCCGCGTGTGGTTGTAGGTTCCAACATCATCCCTCAAAAAAAAAAGTAATAATAAAATGATGATAGTTAGTACTAATTCTATAATAGTTGGTGGAAAAGCACGTACAAAATGGTGGTGGAAGAATTGGATAGTGTATGGGAAATGTTCCCCGGGAAGTATTTAAGAAAGAGAAAGGTATCAAGTTGTATAAAGGAGTTGCAGACCTCTATCTCTGTGTTGGGCAGAGAGAGCAGTTGGTTGGTCATTGAATCTTAGTTAGGTCTCTGTCTCATCTCCATTTATACCCTCTAAAACCATTTCAGGTGTCCACCACCACCACCCCCTTTTTCTCTCATTATTTTCTAATCTAAAAGTTTTTAGAATAGTTAATGATTGTGTAGTCATTTGTCGAAGAAGAGAGTTGATACTCGTTTCATCGAAAGTTTTTAAAACAGTTGATTGTTGTATAAGAGTCTATCGATACCCTTTTCTGTGTAAACTTGAAGAAGAAATGACAGTGAGGAAGAGAACATGGCAATCTTTCATTCCAAACTGTTTGAAGGGTGAGATCAATCCATCTCCCAAGCCAAAGAAAGTGGTTGGTAAACAAACTTCATTTCAAAGGCTTTCTTTATCGGATTTGAGTTCTTCGGCTCTTTCGGAGGACCTCTCAATTTCCCTAGCTGGATCAAACCTTCATGTTTTTACGCTTCAAGAGTTGAAGGTGATCACACAGAGTTTCTCAGCGACTAACTTTCTCGGCGAAGGCGGGTTCGGACCCGTTCACAAGGGCTTCATTGATGACAAACTTAGACCTGGTTTGAAGGCTCAGCCTGTTGCCGTTAAGCTCTTGGATCTCGACGGCTCGCAAGGCCACCGGGAGTGGCTGGTATGTAATTACTGACAAATCCGTTCTTGTTCTTCTTTGACAATTAAGGATTAAAATATGTTTTGAAATGACCAAAATATCATAAAATTCAAAACGGATCAATATTTTATAATGTTTTAAAGTATTTTAGTATTATCCACAAGTGTTTCAGAAAAAAATTTGCAATTTTTTTTTTCATTTTCGTTCTATTTCCATAAATGTTTTTAAATATTTGCAAAAACGTTTTCCTTTATTGTTATTGATTGATGTATTTTATGATTGCTGGAAATTATTTTATGTTGATATTTCTACAGACAGAAGTAATATTTCTTGGGCAATTGAGGCATCCACATTTGGTGAAGCTGATAGGGTACTGTTGCGAAGATGAACACAGGCTCTTGGTGTACGAATACATGCCTCGAGGAAGCTTAGAGAATCAACTTTTCAGAAGTATGTTCTATTTTGTTTTCACCAGTTTACTATGTTTTTTCTTTTGGATAGTAAAAATTAAAAAACCGTTGCAACCACGTGTAACTTTGACTTCAAACCCGAATAGGTGCACTTTTTTGGACAAATTACATGCATGATATAGATCAGCTAGGATTCACATTTGAGATGTTGAGCTCGTAACTCTTGGGCTTGTTTCGATAAATTTTTAGGGAGGATTTGAATAACAATCTTCAAATTATTTTAAACTCAAACTTTTTTTTATAAAGACGGAGTTTAACATTGAATTCGATTCATACTCATATTTAATATACAACACATACACATGTAGGACCTATAGATATATCATAATTATTAACAACTATTTGTCTTATAAATGACTATTTTACTTTTAATCAATTTAATTCATACTCATGTTAAAGGGTACAATTGTCTTTTGTATCTTTAACCCCTTAACCCATCTTCCCAAATTCATCCACTTTTTAGGTTTGACAAAACGCATGATAATAAGTTTAATATTCGAGCTGAGTTTGGGAACACAAGATTAAATTTTCAATTCAAGCATAAGATTTGATAATCTTTTGAACTATTTTTTTCAAATTCATATTGCCAAGCTGATGCCCTTTTACCGAATAGCTCCCGGAGATCTTCCGAATAATTGGATGGGTTCTATTTTGCTATTACCGTACATGTTTTTGTCATGATTAGTACTTGGACAGTGTTACATTTGAATATGGCTAGCTGTAAACCACTAGATGGAAATACATGCCAAAAAACTTTGTCACTGTGTATCTATTATTAGTTTAGTGAAAAGTGATAAAGAAGAAGTCGATGATAGTGTCACGTTTCTGTGATGGTTAACATTGGGACCAAGGGACTTCTTCTCTCATGGAAGAGTTTTATAAGGATATAACTTGTCAACTGGAGCTTTTGTTAATACCGGGCTAATCCATCATTATAGCCCACACTCGGATCGATCATGTAGGAGTACGAGGACGTGTGTAGCCCATTTGCCTGAGGGGTAGGCCCATGGGCCTTTACTGTTAGGGTCAGGTGGCTCACTGGACTGGCCCGATAATTAAGGAATAACTAATTGATTACAGTAGACTCTTAAGTGTTTCATCAAAATAAGTTGCACTTTAATTACGAATGAACAACGACGACTCAGCTAGTACCACACACAAGTATTCTCAGAAGCCAAGTACATATGTTTTCCATGTGAAATATCATGCTCCCCCTGCTGATTATGGTGTTCTCATTTCTGCGGCATTCTCGATAATTCTTGGTAGTGGTGGAAACAATATCTCATGTACATCTCCTTATTCACTAGTTTTCTGAATGCTCAATAGAGCCTAAAGTGTTTATTCTCTCCTCTTTTCCAGGATATTCAATGTCACTTCCATGGTCAGTGAGGATGAAAATTGCTCTTGGAGCTGCAAAAGGCCTTGCCTTCCTCCACGAAGCAGAAAAACCTGTTATATATCGAGATTTCAAAGCTTCAAACATCTTGCTAGACTCTGTAAGCTTCAATTCTCTATTTCTTTCTCTAAACCTAATGCTCCTAATCATAGATTTTTCTGATCATGCCTGTTGAACTTTTCTTGGCATTCTATCCAGGATTACACTGCAAAACTCTCTGATTTCGGGCTTGCAAAAGATGGTCCAGAAGGAGATGACACACACGTTTCCACCAGAGTTATGGGCACTCATGGCTATGCTGCCCCTGAATACATCATGACTGGTAATTGTCTACTCCTTTGCTTAGCTGTAACAAATTGGCATGCATTAGTAAAACGATTATTTAAGAGTGATTGTAACAAGAAGATGTAACACAGAAATTGAATTTGATGCTAAGTCCATTCGATATGTGGAATTTATATCTATATACATAAAGGAAAGATTGAAAAAATTGATCTATATTTAAGCCTTTCTATATATGACAAAGTACAACTTTTATTGTAAAGTTGACTAAAATTGATGCAAAATTTTATGGTTTTCAGGTCACTTGACCGCAGCAAGTGATGTGTATAGCTTTGGAGTATTGCTCTTGGAACTTCTAACAGGGCGAAGATCGGTGGATAAGAGCCGTCCTCATAGAGAACAGAACCTAGCAGAGTGGGCAAGGCCAATACTAAAGGATCAACGAAAACTCGGTCGGTTAATGGACCCAAGGCTTGAAGGACAGTACTCTGAACTGGGAGCTCAGAAGGCAGCTGCATTGGCTTATCAGTGCCTAAGCCACAGGGCAAAGCTTAGACCAACCATGAGCACTGTAGTAAAAACATTGGGGCCTTTAAAGGACTTCAATGGCATCCCAGTTGCACCATTTGTTTATACAGTTTTAAGCAACCGTGATTTGCATAAAGAAAATCCGAAGGAAGTTGAAGCTCAGAAGGAATTGAAGAAGCAGAGCGGCCACCGCCACAAAAACCACCAACTCCACCATGGCCATAGGCATCAGGACAGATTGACAAAATCTACGACAATTTACTCAGAAACAGCACTACGCCAAAGTCTCAAAAATAAAATCAACCCACCTATGCACCATTGATTTACGATGCATCGATTAAGAGAAGTGTACATCATACTGTATATATGATTCATCAACTGTTGTTTTAGATTGCATGGCATGGCATAAGCCTAAGTGTAAGGATAGTAGTGAGGACATTTTAATTTTTTTAATCAATTTTTTTGTTATTTTTCTGTTTTATCTTGATCGAAAGACTTTGATTTCTGTAATGAATCCAATGTTATTGCAAATATTCGTTCTATAATAGGTGGTCTCTCAGGTTGTGAATACTTAGTGATACTGACAGGGCAGAGCTAGAAAAAAATTTTAGGGTGGACACACTTGCATGTTTTAATTTTTTTTTTAATATATCGTAAAAGTTTATAAATTTATATTTATTAAAATTATATTTAATACTTTTTAAACATAGAAGATTAAAAATCGATATACATAACATGAATAAAAAATAATAATTAAAATTTCTTATAAAAAATGCGACTAATTATTATTACTTACAATTGACCCTAATATGTTTTTATTATTTGAAAGAGTATAAATTAATTTTATTAACAATATTTCTTTTATATACAAAATCGAGGCAACAATACACATATTTTTATATAATAATGAGATAACCCTACAATTTTAAAAAATTATAAAATAATATAAATATATTCAAAACATATTTGAATATGTCTAAAAGTTAACAATTATATTAGTTGTACTTAATTTGGGATTTAATTAATGGAGATCCAATGATTTGTGACAATTGGATAGATAGTAGAGTTTATTAAATATTAAAATTCACTATTATACTTAATATCGCAATGTATTAAGTTCTTAAATTAGGTTTTAATAACATTGTTCAAAAAATTAATAATTATTTAGGTAGAAGTATATTTAAATCAATATCATCAGAACATAATATTATAGTGGACATAATTAAATATGTCTAAATTTTATTTTAAAAAATATATAATTAATATAAAACAAAAAAAAATTGAGTGGGCATGCGCCCACGCTAGCGAAGGGTGGCTCTGCCCATGGCTACTGACCCCACTTCTGAAATAATTAAAGGTCAATTCCTTTTTAACCTCCTGTGGTTTGGGCTATTGCACTTTACCTCCTTGTGTTTTTTAAATAGATACTTCACACCCTTTATGTTTTTGGACTGATATGAAAAGACAACTCCGTATATTACCCTCATCTTTTAAATGGATCTGTCACTCCCTTCTTCTCCCTCCAGCCCAACAAACCAATCACTCTACTGCAATCACCTCAACCACTCCACCGTCCACAACGATTTCGAACAATTTTTTTTCTATTGAAAATCAAATTTTCCTCAAACCCATTTTAATTCCAATCTAACTTCAATTCCAATTTTCTTCACTACAAATTGAACCCAATCAACAAATTAAATCACCACAGCTACAGTATCCGTAACCACTCGCAGCACCTAGGACCACCATCCACTAGGAGAAAGAAAAATCAAAGTCACAAAGTTTTGTTTCAAAATTGAAATCAAAATCAAAATTTCATGTCGATTTTGATTTCATCTTCAAATTGTGCTGCACTCATTTCGCTGAAGTGATGCAACAGGGAAATTGATTTTGTTGGATTGAAGTTTGTGATTCGTTAGAGTGGATTGGTGATTTTGGCAGAGGCGTGGATAGAGGGGTAGGGATGAACTGGGTTTTTTGTTTTTGTTTTTTGATTTTATGCTTAATTATAGTGGAGAGAGAGGGAGAGAAAGAGGGAGACAGAGAGAGGTTGATTGCAGGTGGCAGTGGTGGTGGGTCAGTGAGAGAGAGGTTGATAGATAGAAGAAGATGGGTGTGCAAGAATGAGTGTATTTTTTTCTTTTTAATGGAAAGTTGACTTTAATAAAAAAAAAAATTGCACCTGAACAACAATATAAGGGGGTGAAGTTGCCTATTAAAACAACACAATGGGGTAAAGTGCAACTGACCCAAACCCCAAGGGGAAAAAAAAGAATTTGGCCATACTTAAATTGCAACAACCCATATTCAATTGTTACAGACACAACTCCTATAATTAAATAGGTCCATTGTGCTAGGAGAGGGCTTCAAATGCCCTGTTTTGGGTGGCTGTGTTCAAGCGTTATCATGTTAAAATAAAAACAGGATATGATATGAAGAAAATGAAACTAAAAGACATGCAGAATTGACCATGTGATGTCGAGAGACATATCTGCTTAAATAATGTCATCTCATTAAACAAGGAGAATGGTACGAATCCAAGCTGGAAACAATAATTCTAAATCCCAGTCCGTCTTCCAGCTTGCATAATTTATAGGATGTTATGGAGGCCAAGATCAAGACTTTATCTCTTTACTCGATTTTTGACATTGATGGATAACACCCTCTCGAAAGCAAAGAATATTGGAAGAGTATCGTCATTTCCTTTTTTTTCAAAAATGTAATTTTTGGTTTTTTTATTAGCGACGATCTCGTAGGGTGCACGGTACTTAATCATTCTCCACCACTATCTTACCACCACCCCCACCATGTCCTGCAATGTCAACCCTAGGCATGGGCAATTAAGGCTGACGTCTATGCCCCCCAAAAAATATTAGAATTACTTAAAAAAAATTGAATAAAAAATACGGACATTCATGAGTTTTGATAGTATTATACAGACACCCCTTATATTTTATAAATAATACAAAGACTCCCAGAAGTTTGAAACTTATTGCATGGAGACCACCTCTATCTCTCTTCCATTAATATCGAAAAGTAATGATTCCATCCTAAAAAACTTTATTATTTTCACAATTGTCTTTCTCCAACTTTAGTACCCAAAAAAATTAATAAAATCAAACACAATTGCTATGCTATGAGATCAGTGGTATTTGATTTGAATCGGGCCAACGATAAAAAATCATTGCTATGCTATGAACTTTGTTAGTTTTGCGTCTAATTCCATCGTTTAAGCTCTCAAAATCCCATTTTTGCTATTTTAGGGAAAAATTCAAAATTTATAACAAATCATCAGAGAGTCTAAATTTAGTGCTGTAACTTTTTTAGACTTCAAACGAAATGTGTTTTTATTTTAATAAGTTAGATTTTAATTTTTAATTTTTTGATAATTTTTGAATAATTGATGATGATGTGGAATAGACGACTGAAATGGTTCGCAGTCAGAATGAATTGAGATCAGCGGTATTTGATCCGAATTGGGCCAACGATCAAGACTCATGACCATGCCATGAGCTCTGTTAGTTTTGCTCCAAAATCCATTATTTAAACCCTCAAACCACCGTTTTATCCATTTTACGAAAAATTTGGAAAGTAATAATAAATCATAGGAGAGTCTGAATTCAGCACTGTCAATTTTTTTAGACTCTAGGCGAAACATACTTTATTTTAATTAGATAGATCACAATTTTCTATTTTTTTTGATTATTTTCATGTAATTTTCTATTTTTTTTATAATTTTTGAATAATGGGGAGAATGTAGAATATGTAACTGAAATGGTTCGGAGAGATCGAATTTAGCACTGCCAAGTTTTTTAGACTTAAGACGAAATGTATTTTTATTTTAATAAGTTAGATTACAATTTTTTATTTTTGATAATTTTTGAATAATTGAAGATGATGTAGAATAGGTCGCTTAAATGAAACGGACTCAGAATGGATTGAGACCATTGGTATTTGATCCAGATCGGGCCAACAATCAAGACTCGTGACAGTACTATGAACTGTGTTAGTTTTGCACCGAATTACATCATTTAGGCCCTCAAAATTCCTTTTTTTTTTTTTGCATTTTAAGAAAAAAATCAAAAATTAATAATAAATCATATGAGAGTCCGAATTAAGCATAACCAATTTTTAGACTCAAAACGAAATGTAATTTATTTTAATCAGATAGATTGTAATTTTTTATTTTTTTTTAATTTTCGTGTAGTTTTTTTATTTTTTATAATTTTTGAATAATTGGGGATGATGCAAAATACGTGGTAGAAATGGCTCGGAGAGTTCAAATTCACTGCCGCCAATTTTTTTAAACTCTAGATAAAATGAGTTTTTATTTTAATAAGTTAGATTTCAATTATCCATTTTTTTGATAATTTTTGAGGATGATGTAGAATATGTGGTTCAAATGACTCAGACTCCTAGTGGATCGAGACTAGTAGTATTTGATTCGGATAGGGAAAATGATCAAGACTCATGGCTGTGCCATGAGCTCTGTTAGTTTTGCTCCGAATTCTACCATTTAGACTCTTAAAACCCTATTTTTTTCTCATTTTAGGAAAAAAATTAAGAAATTAATAATAAATCATATAAGAGTCTGAATTTAGCATTGCCAATTTTGTAAACTCCAGCCGAAACGTGCTTTTATTTTAATCAGTTAGATTGAAAATTTTTTGATTTTTTGCAATTTTCTATTTTGTTATAATTTTCGAATAATTGGGGATGATATAGAATAGTTGACTAAAATGGTTCAAAGAGTTCAAATTCAACGCCGCCAATTTTTTTAGACTTCAAATGAAAGTGATTTTATTTTAATATGTTATATTGTAATTTTCTATTTTTTGATAATTTGTGTAATTTTTTTTGATAATTTTTGAATAATTGTGAATAATGTAGAATAGGTGGCTAAAATGGTTCGGACTCAGAATGGATTGAGATCAGTGGTATTTGATTCGGATTGGGCCAACGATCAAGACTCATAGTCATGTGCTCCAAATGAAGCGTGCTTTTATTTTAATCAATTAGATTGTAATTTTGTATTTTTAATAATTTTCATGTAATTTTGTATGTTTTCATAATTTTTAAATCATTGAGGATGATGTAGAATTGGTGACTGAAATGGCTCAGAGAGTTCGAATTTAGCGCCACTAATTTTTTTAGATTCTAGATGAAACGTGCTTTTATTTTAATAAGTTAGATTGTAATTTTAAATGTTTTGATATTTGTCGTGCAATTATCTATTTTTTGATAATTTCTGAATAATTGAGGATGATGTAGAATGGATGACAAAATGGCTTGAGAATGGAGAGGGACCGGTGGTATTTAATC